AAAAAAAATCAAATATTAATTTGTGTTGTTTTGTTTGGATCCAGTCAAATCCAAATTGTCCCTTACCTTGGTTACCAGAGGGGGCTGCAGGGTGCAGTGGTGTTGCCATGGCAGCGGCGTGGGCGGAGCTGTTGGGAAACGCCATCTGTCCACCTGATGGCATGAGTGGGGGAGGCGGCGGGGGGGCTGGAGGGATCTGGTGATCTCTGAGGAGAGATGGAGGTCAAAGGTCAAAAAAGAGTCATACCAGTGTGCACTGCAGGCTTTATGCTGCTGCAGGAAACGTGTGTGTGTGTGTGTACTTGGCTTCCTTGGAGCCATTGCTCCTTGTTCCGTTCTGACTGGCTGAGCTGACAAGTGGCTGCAAGTGGTGGTGGTGGTGGTGTATCTGGTTGCGGCCCAGTGAGTGCTGCCGAGCTGATGCCACAGTGACCGCAGAGGCAGGTCGAAGGGCACGGTCTAACGACTGAGTTTGACCACTTCCGCCGGTTGCAATGGCAACGTGATCCTTCCCATCATGCCCATTCCCATCACGGTGGTGGGGGCTGGAGGGGAAGGAAGGGTTGTCTGACATTCCCGACCTGAATGGGGCAGAGGCAGCTTAATTAGATGTCTGAGTGTCAGCGGTTCTGAGGCATTTTAACAAACTCGATGGGAGATGTTTCTTGTACATGGATTACCAGGTAGCTGGAATACTGTTGATGATTTAACATAATACCAGAATCTACTGGTTCTACTAAAGTCTCACGGACATGTCATGGACATATGTCCGTAATCTCAAACATACTTGGGAGCAGGTTTGTTCTCAAGCTTATTTTCCCACAACTCCCCCTCAGTGCCCACCCCCCACCTGCACCTTTGGCTTTAAGTCTTCAGCCAACTTCAACACTTGTCTCAACCACGGAACCATCCAGCTCCTCCTCACCCCCCACTTCACAACAGCAGTAAAATCATCCTCTGCCTGATAAAGCCACAACACATCCTGTCACTCCAGGGGATTGTGTCTTACTGATATCTGAGGGGTCCAGGTTACAAGGAAGGTCATGATTTCTCCCAGGACAAACTAGGGCCCAGTCATAATAGCTATCCCGTGATAATAGCTAACAGAAGGAGGATGGTGCACCCTGCTCAGCCATATAAATATAACCCCCCCCCCCAAAAAAAAACAATTGCATGCCATATTCATAATTCCTGAGTTTGGTTTTATACTGTTTTCTACAATCAACTAACTCTCCAGCATGGCCAAACATGGACTTTCACTCACAAACCATATGTAATGATTTAGCTTCTTTTTTCACATTAGGTGTTCCAACACTCACACCAGTCCTCCAGTCTAACAGGTATAATCCAGTTAAATGGTCAACATTTAGTCCTGTTTGTCCTCAAACACTGAAGGATGTAGTCATGAAACTAAGCTCATCTAGTTGTTTGGATATTTTACCAACATACTTTCTTAAAAAGGTATTTACCTGCTTGGAATTTAACTTATTTGACACAGCAAACAGTTCCCTTCTATCAGGCACCTGTCTTAGTTCTGTGAAAATAGCTGTTGTTAAAGTTCCACTCCAGAGACATTTTTCATATGATATGAGCTTAAAGAAAACAGACTGCACTGAGGGGTCGTCAGAACCAAACCATTCCATCAAATGGTACTGTTTCAGTTGGGAGAAAATGATGCATTGAGGTGGACTGTTAGTGCCTCATATTAAGGGCACAACAAGAGGAGCTGCGCTCTGACCGCCACACAGCCGCTGTGCACTGACCCGAGCTTTCTGCCAAGAGGCAGTTTTTTTATAGGATTGTTAATGTGGAAAATGTAATGACGAGCACAGTTTTAGAGCTATTTGAAAACTACCTGTCTCTGAAACTGTTCCTCTTAGTTTTCATAGTCTTCTTCCTATGTGCTTTAAAAACAAAGGGAATTAATTGATCTGAGGCTTATTACAGTTTTTTAAAAACTTGCTGTGGAGGCAAATTGTAATGATAATGGTAACACAGGACAGTGACGCCGGTTTGCAGAATATTCTTAGACTTTACTTTCACCTGTTCCCAGGTTCTCGCTGTGCCTGTACTCGCTCTGAACATGATACAGAGACATGATACTGTCATATCAAAGCATTGTCTATGCAGTTATGGCCACATTAAGGATTGAAATGGAATACTTGTGCCTTTAATTTGTCAGACACTTTATGCCTCCGTCTCTCCACATTTTCACCACTGTTGCAGAGTTATCTTAGGTACAAATGAACTCCATGGCCTCCAGCAGACGCTTTCGATGCAGCGGTGACAGACTGTACTCTTTTATTTGGACAGCTACATGTAGAAATCAGCTGATCTCGGTTTTGGCTGTCGATATATAGAGTCAAGTCAATGACCACAGCAGTCCACACTTATCTTGGATGACTGAATCCAGCTTTTCTAATCAACAACTCAGGTGGGGGACAAATTATCCAGACAACCTTAACTGGCATTAAAAAAATCCAGGATTACTCAACCGATCTTGGATCTGTTAAGTGATATACAAAGAACACCTCCCTAGGCATGTGTATTAGTGTATTTACCTGTCAGGTGACATCGAGCCATCTGAGGTGTGGTAAGGGGATGGTGTTACTCGAGTGTCTGGGCGGAGCTCCTTGTCATAGGCCATCAGGTTCCACTCCTGCCGCCTGTTACGAGCTTTCCGAACCTTTACAGAAAGAAGAACAAGAGTTAATGTGATAAAACAGTGGGTTATTGATACGGTGATACTAATGACAGAGCTAGACAGAAACGTCACCTTCTTCACCTCCCGTCCTGAAGACTCCTCCACATGTTTCTGCTCCTGAACAAAAACATGAACTTTTTATTCTAATTTCTATTTATTCTAACTATTCTTATTGTTGTGTTTACCCACTGACGTTTCCTGACATGCAAAGTGTGATTTTTCATGTAGAGGAACATAAAGACAATAGACGGATGGCTGGATGGATTGGATGAACCTTCTGTCGTCTCTTCTCTTTGCGTTTGTTCTCAGTGGCCTGCAGCATTTTTTCCTTCCACAGATTGAAAAAGTAAGAGGGATCAGTGTAGAACTTCAGTCCATCCTTCTTATCATCCCTGCACAGACCCAAACACATTAACTTAAATTCATTGGAGTCACCCTAGGTCAAAGGTTGAAATAAAGACAGGACAAGAGTTAGAGGGCTTTGTAATGAAATGTAAAAAATACATATGTGTTAAAACAAATCTAGTATAACAGCTGGATATACT